AAACCTCGCTCCAAACTACATATTGGAGCCTTCAACGTACGCACCTTATGTCAAATCGGTCAGCAGGCTTCCTTGGCTAGAATCCCGTACCATTGATGTGTGCTGTGTCTCCGAAACACGCATACAGGATCCCAGTGTAGTCATCCACTTGACCTCACCTCGGCAAAACGGAGAGCCAACGAGATACACCCTCCGTGTATCTGGTGACCCGATGGCCATCTCTCGTGGACTGGCAGGAGTAGGGATAACACTAAGCATGAGCCCAGAACAAGCAGTTAGAGTGGATCCCCGTCAACAGTCGTTTATGTGCTGTCCGGCTAAACGGCTCCGTAAGAACTCGGAAGGATAGGGACACACGTTGTTGCCTTTTTGTCGTTTCTGCCTACGCTCCCACCGGCTGCAGCTCAGATGAAATGAAAGATGATTTTTACAGAAAGCTCTCTGAACTTCTTCAGAAAGCTAAACGTTCAGACATAGTACTCGTAGCAGGTGACTTTAATGCTCAGATAGATAGTTTAAACCAAACAGAAAGGCATTTAGGTGAGTATTTTAGTATACCGGCACAACGAACAGATAATGATGATCGTCTGCTGCAACTATGCTCAGACAATCGTTTATTTTTAGCAAACACAAATTTTAAGCATAAAGAAAGACATCGTCTAACATGGCGACCCCCTACACTAAACCAACGATGGACTCAAATAGACCATATTGCCATCAGTCATCGTTGGATAGGGTCGGTAGAAGATTGTAGCTCATTCTGGAGTACCTGCTTGGACTCCGATCATGCCCTAATACGGGCACGCATCTGCTTGCGCCTCACTGGACGCAAAAAAGCCACATTAAAAAGACCCATTAGAAGTGAGTTGAGTAACGAGAAAACCAAAAGTAAGTTCCAGGAACAACTGAGGTCACACTTAGGTAGTTCTGAAAACGAGGCTGACCCAGATGTTGCTTGGAAAGATATACAAACAGCTGTGGAAACAGCAATGAAATCTATTAGTGACTTAAACCACAGTGTTACAAAGAACCAGTGGATTTCTTCAAAGTCTATCACACTGATGGATTCTCGCAAACTCGTCCCATCAGGTTCCGAACATGATGAAGAGCGACAACAAATCAGATCTGGGTTAAGAAAAAGTCTAAGAAATGACCGTGAGCAGTGGTGGACAACGAAAGCAAAAGAGATGGAAAAGGCGGCGGCTATAGGGAACACAAGACAGCTCTACAGATTAATAAAAGAAACTGGAACTAATAAGTCTAGTGTAAGTGAGATTATTTCGGAAAAAGACGATACTCTCATCTACTCCCAGTTCAGACGTTTAGAACGATGGGCGGAACACTTTAAGGAGCAGTTTAGCTGACCTTCAGCTACTCTAAAGCTACCCACCCTTCTCAGACAGCGTGAATGGAACATTGAAGTAGGTCCCCCAACTCTAGCAGAAGTTCAAAAGGCTATAGTTAATCTGAAACGAGGCAGGGCAGTTGGTCCAGATGGATTGGCTCCAGAAGTCTTTAAGGATGGTGGTCCAATTTTAGCTGTTAGGTTGACTAATCTTTTAGCTAAGATCTGGAAGTTAGGTGTTATTCCATCTGACTGGTTGCCATCACTTATCGTCCCAATATATAAGAAAGGGTCAAAATCATCCTGTGACAACCACAGAGGGATTAGTTTAACAAATATAGTATCTAAAATACTAGCCTCAATAATAATCAGACGCCTAACTAAGACTCGTGAACTGCAAATACGAGAAAACCAAGCTGGCTTCAGACCAGGTCGTGGCTGCATCGACCACATATTCACCATTCGTCAGGTTCTAGAACACAGGCATACTTATCGGCGTCCGACGATGGTGGTCTTTCTTGACTTAAAAGCAGCATTCGACTCGGTAGACCGCGAGGTTCTGTGGCAGTGTCTGGCATTGAAAGGCGTACCCCAGAAGTATATAAACCTTGTATAGGCTCTTTACTTGAACACTACTAGTCGAGTCAGAGCTTATGGCGAACTGTCATCTAGTTTTGCAACCCCAAGTGGTGTCCGACAAGGCTGTCCACTTTCTCCATTTTTGTTTAACTTCATCATAGACCTACTGATGGAAATAACATTCTCGTCTACTGAATTCTCGGGTATTGATCTCCTTCCAGGAGGTCCACTTATCGACTTAAAATACGCAGATGATATAGTCCTGTTTGCTAAAGACGCTGACAAAATGCAGGATCTCAGCACGAATTCGAAAAGCTCGTTTGGCTTTTGCCAACTTACGTCACCTTTGGCGAAGGCGAGATATCCGTCTATCAATAAAAGGACGAGTATACTGCGCGGCAGTCCGTTCTGTTTTACTTTACGGCAGCGAAACATGGCCTTTAAGAGTAGAAGACACCCGTAAGCTACTAGTATTTGACCACAGATGCCTTAGAAATATTGCTGGCGTCTGTTAGGATCACCGGGTAAGTAATTGTGAGGTTAGATGCAGGGTATTTGGTAATGATGGTAAATCAGCTGATGAGGTTGTTAATCTTCATCGACTAAGATGGTTGGGCCACTTGTTACGTATGCCCGAACACCGATTACCACGTCGTGCAATGCTAACGGGTGTTAGAGATGGTTGGAAGAGAATTAGGGGCGGCCAAACCAAAACGTGGCATCAGTGCTTGAAGACACTAACATCTAGTCTGAGCCATATTGGTAGATGCAGACTACTTGGTTGGGATCCGCGTGACTTTCGTAACCGATGGTTGGAGACTCTTGGTGACATGGCTCAGAATCGATCACAATGGCGTCGGTGTATACACTCCCTGTCTTCCCTTAAACTAAGAGATTAAAATCACTTCATATCTTTCTTTCTACGAACGAATTCTATATTCCGGTACTGTATCCTTATATGCAATCTTTCTCCTATATACTAACACATTTAACCTAACCACTCCTATGAATCCGGTATTCATCTTGCTGTGCTAATGAGGTATGGCAACCTGGACCGATGCATATATATGCCTGGTCCTACGTTGTAGCTGACTGACTCATTTGTAGGTATGATATCCACTCGGTAACAAAGTATGTGAATACTGCTCAGCAGTTCGCCGCACATTACTTTATGTCTGTGGATCATGATCTGTGAAAGTTGGGGACATGGTTGCTGCAGTTTTTTAATCGTCGGTGTCTTTAAAACATTACTCGCGTTTTCTAGTAATTAAGTGAGTAATGCTAAGGTTCAATATATGGTATTAACTAACAAAATTTCGCGATGAAGTCGTGAATCTTTATCGACTGGTATGGTTTGAACATTTGTGTATCCCTAATTACTACTTACGTTGACGCACAATGTTTCTTGGTGTAGGAACAGGTTGAAAAAGCCTGCGGCAGACAGACCAAGACATGGATTTGTTTTGATAATTTTGTCTCGAGCTTATGTAATATTGCTACCTGAACCGTCACGCATATATATCAGGTTCGTTGCAGGTGACTGACTGACCATGAAGTTATCAACTGTTTCTCTGGTCCATGTTGGATCCAGACTACTTGGTTGGATCCGCATGATAATGGCGATCGGTTGTTGAAGATAATTAGTATGACTCGAGATAATAGCGTAATGTATTCACTCTGTATCTACCTTCACTCTTCAGCTCCACTGTTCTTTTATTATTTATTTATTTTAATACATAGATATTGGTACAAGGAGGCACCAAATGCATGTGCGCCACACAAATCTCATTGAATATGTGTAAGGGCTGTGATACTGCCCGGGTGCCCAAACCGAGGGAGGTGGTTTTCTTAGGGGGCTACACCCGGAGTCTTTGACCCGAATGTCTGGTCCACAAGGCAGTGGAGCATCGTAAGGAGATGCAGTCCCATGGAAGTCGGTGACCAACAATTGGTCCATACGCCATTTGTTCCTTCAGGATCCTGGAGCCCATGTGCAACATTGATTTCGAATCCGGTTAAAGCGCCAGACATTCGCTTTTCGTCCTCTCATTTTCGTAAACAACACCCCCTCCACGAGAAGGCAGTGAGTAGGACTTCCCTGGCAAAGGCCATATACGCGTGGCCATGTGAGAGCATTTCGAGAGGGAGAGCGGACTCTCCCCACTCTCGGCCGTACCAGGGCATTTGGGGGCCCACTGTTCCTGTACGTACCTTCGTGTTACGTTTTTTCTGAACCGTATGACGAATGTTCATTCATCATTATTATCATAAAATTTAGGCTCCTTCACAATCCATTTTATATTTATCTCAGGCTACCGTGGGACTGCATCTCCTGACATTGCTCCACTGCTTTGTGTATTATGTCGAAGGCTCCGGACATGGTCCCCTAGGAAGACCACCTGCTCTGGTCTAGGCACCCGAGCTGTACAGTATCGTAGCCCTTACACAAATCAATGATAATTGCTACTGGCCTCATTGTATTTAGTGTCCCCTCATACCAATGTTTATGTGTTCCAATAAATATAAATAAATTTATCTCTTCGGGCTAGTGTAGAATGACTCGATCCAACGTAAATCTGTACCCGGTTGTTGATTATGTTTATCTGTCTAGACCAAAGTTAGTGAACCGGTATTCAACTAATGCAACCTGCCAGTCGAAATATGCATTTTGATTGCTTAGCCACCACTTCTTCAAAGTTCAAAATTAGGTAGTTATCTGGTATGCCTACACTAAATCTGTTTCAACAGCTAGTCACTTCAATTCTTCAACGTACACAAATTTCTTATTACTTCTAAAGATGTACCTAACTTTTCAGGCTTTAAAGGCGGTGTTATAATACTGGCTGGTATTCTTCTTGTAAACGGTCCATTTATCTGATTACTCTCAAAACATGTGGTCCAGTCGGTTAGCTTAAGAAGTCGACGTCAACTTAAGTACTACTCAAAAAATTATTTAATCTCACTATATAAATCTGGATATAGCTCACTTTCATCGTCTGTAGTCCCGGATAAGTTATTTTACCAATTTTCCTATTCTTTTCGGCAAAGTGACTAATTTCTCAATTAAACTTTTTAGCGCTTTCTTATGTGCTTATGGGTGCCTTCCTGGAAAAACCCAAAACAGATAAAGTAGTTAACGTGGGGGAAGGAAACGGACTTCGGTATGCCATTTCAAGCATGCAAGGATGGCGATTAGAAATGGAAGATGCCCATGTAGCTAAGTCTGAGCTTCCCAGTCCTTTCCAATACTGGTCGTATTTCGGCGTATTTGATGGCCATGCAGGATCTCGCGTTTCAGAGCTTTGTGCAGCCAAGTTGCTAGATGTAAGTTAGTAATCTGCTTTTTAATTTCGGTTACATTTAGGCTATTCTTAACACAGAAGAATTTCAGAAGCTTAGTTTTGATAAAGAGCTTGATACATCTTTGGTCAAGAAAGGCATCATTAACGGGTTTTTATCATTCGACCGAGACCTAGCATCTGATGATTCCGATGAAAAATCCGGCTCTACAGCAGTAATTGCCTTTGTCACACCAACCCATATAATTATGGCAAATTGTGGCGATTCAAGAGCAATACTTATTCGCGACAACAAAACCTTCCTAGCGACCCAAGACCACAAACCATATAATCCCATAGAAAGTCGACGAATTTCTGAAGCTGGCGGCAAAGTCATGTTGTCTCGTGTTAATGGATCCCTGGCTGTTTCCAGGTAAATCATGTTACCTTCCATGTTGTTTTTTCTCAGCTTCTACGCATTTTTAGGTATTGAAGATCAATCTTTAGTGAGGCAACTGTTTAAGTGGATGATAAGGCTCCTATACTTAGAAAGTTGTGACACCCCTCAAATATTTTCTCTACTTGTTTTCTAGTGTATTAGATGTCCACAGACATAAAGTTGGAGAAATAGAATATTTCTCTTCAACTCGAAGTCACAGGTGTTAATATTATGCACATGATACATAAGGTTTACTTCCTTTTAAGCATTTGTTCCCATTATATCTAAGTAACATCGTGTGATTCAATAATTTTATCTACAAAGTTGTCAATATTAAATACCATTTCGTAATTTGAGAGGTAACCAGCATAGCTCTGTATTCGCATGTATTGCAAATAAGCGTTCTCTTAAAAAAAACATCTTCGTGTTTGGTTCACGTTACCATTAATAACAATAGGTAGCACTGATTTTCTTGATAGATCCTTTATTATTATCCTGACAAGTCCATGAAGTCACTGACAAGTGGACTGAGTCATATTGGTAGGTGTAGACTACCTGGTTGGGGACCGCGAGATGATAGCAACCGATGGTTAGAGACTCAGAATGACATGGCTCAAAATCGTTTGCAATGGCGAAGGTGCACCCACTCTTTGTGTTCTTTCAAATTCTAATCTCCTGATTCTTCGTTGTCTCTTTTTTCTCTTCCCAAATTTATTTCACTGGATTATACTCTTTAAATAACATCTCCAAACCCTAATCTTTCTGATTACTGCTTATACTCTTACTACCTCTACCACTACGGGATTTGAATCGACAACTGCATCTCTGTGCTAATGTGGTATGGCAACTCGAACTGATGTACGTACGTACGAAGTTCTACGTTGTAACTGACTGACATGAAACGCGATTTTGAAAAACAAAGATGGCGGAAAACGAATCGCACTAGCTTAAAAACCATAAAAATCTTGTGTTTTCTGGTTTAAAGAAATAGTTGCCAGTGTTTTAAATACAAAGCTCACGTTTTCGTTCATTATAACATATGAAAATCAGCAAAAAATATCTGATATTTCTATTGGATATGTTATGCGTGTTATGAACATTATAATTGGTACTCGTGCATCGTTTGGGTCTAAAATTTCTAAAAACGTAACATTTTGTTTTGAAAGCCTTTGTAATCTTTGTACCTTTGTTTAAAATAACTCATTCTCACTAGTTCTGTCGGGTTTTTGTTTATCAAAGAAGTGTATGTTGTTACATCACGTTTCTTGGTTTTCCTGGATCTCATTAATCTTTCTACTCACATATTTATCAACATTGTAATGAAAAGTTAGGTTGTTATCCGTTTTAGAATCAGTACAGTATCTAGTGTTCGTCTCTCCAGCCTTGCACGTATTTGTTCTAATTTCTGTCCTACACACTGGCAAACTTTTTCCGTTCGTATTAAAACATTAATTGAAAATTATACAAAAGCTTCACTATTACTACAAAATATGTTCAATCTTAATCTTCATATTTAGTTCATCGAGTTACCATTTCGGATGTTGGACTCAGAGTATTAGGAAAGTATGGTAAAGCGCTTGACGAGATTATTGTTCTTGGTTGACTAAGGTGGTTGCGATATGTATTACCTATGCTCCACGGACTACCTTGACGATGATGGTTCATGTAATTGTAAATTGGAAGGAAGCTAGAGGCACCCAAACCTCGTAAATTTTCCCTGTGTCGTTTCACTTCTCAAATTGTATTTTCAACTTAATTTCTATTAACACTATTATGACTCCCTCTACTACTTCGAGATTTACCATGGCCATTTCATTGCGCCATGTTAATAGGTTTTGACAACTCGAACCAATGTACCAGGTTCTACGTTGCTGTTGACTGATTGATTCATATTTAGTTACAGGAAATTAGATTAAATATTCTTGGAAGCTTTCTGAGATACAACCCCCTAGGGGAAATGTGTGTAAGTGGCCTATATTTTTATTGCCAGTGCTTCATAGTGAATTCTATTTTTGTCTGCAGATCTCTGGGTGACTTCGAATACAAACAAGTGCTTAATCGCGGAGCGACAGAGCAGCTTGTTTCTCCTGAACCAGATATATTCATTGTTGAACGCAGAAAAGAATTCGATCAAGTTCTTCTTCTTGCTTGTGATGGAATTTGGGACGTGTTTGAAAACGACACTCTTACTACATACGTCCTTCATCGATTGTGTTGCTTACCATCTTTGGCGGATGTTTGTTCAGAAATTCTCGACACTAGTTTGCACAAGGTTAGTTTGTCAAATGACCGGTGAGCTACCATTGTCGTTGTGATTGACAACTGTCGTAGTTTATTAATTGTAAAGTAAACATCTGATTTTATCACTGCACTGCTGCATTATTAAAAATACTAAGATTAAGTTTAATTACACACCATTTAGATATAGGTTAAAGACAATCGCAATCACGTGTGAAAATTGAAATTCAAAGCTAAAAGGATTGCTTTTAATTAGCAGTAACGAACATTTAAGTTTGCTTTCTAAAAATACTAGATGCTGCTACAGTGACTTATTGCAAAACATACTACATTTCCGGTTTTATATTCACCCTGTTTCCAACTGTAGTTGTTTTTTTGTGTGTGAGTATTACTGTGTAAATAATCAATATTCAGAGTGCTTTAAAAATACCAACTTTCAATTACCAAATATATTTATTATAAAATGCTGCTTACAAACAAATCGGAAATATGTTTATTGACCATTATTTCTTTGAAAGTTAAATTGTTAACATAACTCTAATAATATACATACAAGGGTCATCATTTAGTCCTGGCATGTACATAATAAATGGTGTGCCAAAGTTCCGATGACTTACAAATCAAATAATAAGCACTAATGTTTAGCAAGACAAGGGTATATTTAATGCTAAAAGATAATTTGAAATATTAGTTTCATTGTACCGTATTTACTAGAATTTTCAATTGCTTATTTTATAGCCAGATCACCAACTTATCCACTCTGAGTATCAAGTTTTTTTCTTCCCAATTAGTCTGAAAATGGATAAAGTTTCACCCCTTACATATTGATTGTCTATTAATTGTTACTTCAATTTTTCCATGGTTAGTTTTGAATGATTCTTGCATGTCATTTATATGTTAGATGAAAAATTGTCTTAAAATACACTTCATTTGAGTTGCTCGGTTTCCAATAATCAACTCAACAGTAATCAGTTTTGTTAGTCTCATAAAATGAAGTCTTGAAATAAAATTAGGATCATTTTCGTTACGTGATTATTTTTACTATCATATTTTTTTGTTACCTTGGTTTCTTCAGGGTAGTCGTGATAATATGAGTGTCCTCCTGGTAGCGTTAGATGCCGCCCCAACTGTGAATCCAGAGGCAGTTTGTAAGGAAATGGAATTAGATACTTCCTTAAACAATATGATTGTCGGTAAGCTTACTCATCATAGTTGTATTTTTTAATAACAACATTTTCATTTGACCGCTTTATTGGTTCTTGAAGATATTCAAACACTCTGGATAAATAAGCTTTCCTCTGCTTTTATGTCTTTAAATTTATATTAAAACAAACGGTTACACATCGTTTAAATAAGTAAATTTATTTAGGACAGGTGTTCACTGAATTCACTTTTTATTGTTTGTCATAATTTACCTTAATTGAAACACGCGTAGATCGATTTCCTTACGATGGTATTTATTTTTTAGACCTACGTTGAGGACTCTCGGTGAACAAATGAAGCATGAAGTTTCAATATCTTCTTATCATATCAACCTGGACCTGTTTCTCATATTATCCATTCACTCATTCATTCCATGAAATTTATTGTAAAGTACCCAATTGTATTTGATTGGAAAATACAATACAATAGTACCGATAGTATTATTGTTTTACGAATAAGATTACTTTTCTCTAACATTTGTTATCTTTTATCCTTTATCCACATTTCAAGTTCTTGATCACTCCTATAACTCATGAAAGTTTAATCCACAAGGCGTTTCACATTGTCTTTGAGACAATAAAGTTCCACTATTGATTACCGATTCATTTGTGAACAGTCGGTTGAAAATAAAATCTAATCTTTCGACATTACGATTTAATCGCCCTTTATGTTAGATCAAACCTGCATCGTACTAGTTGCATCTCCTCCGTTTCATACAGTCACTGGCTTTAAAAAATTTTCACCATAAATTGGATTAATTAGCCATACAAATTAAATTAATGCGTATTTTAATTTGCATTATACACTCTATAAGTCACTTGTTTGGATTTTAAAGTCTAGTTAATGTAACATTCATAAACTGGTACACAAAGTGTTTATGTCATTTACCTTTATTCATACTCAGATATAATTAATTCAGCCGGCGAAGATGCTAACTTTTTGAATGTGGATTATGTCGCCAGTGCAGTTAAAAGTATGAATCTTCCCAATTATCCTCCGGGTGGCTTCAACACCAAGTGAGCACCTCACTGATAGTTATTATACTAATTATTTACATTGATTTGATAACCCAGCATATGTATAGTGTTAAAACTAAAATGTGAGCATGGCTATTTAGTTCATAATTTGACCATATAAATACTAAATTGTTTCATGTCTAATAGTTGTTTCTTTTAAATTATATTTCTCAACTACTACGATCAAACAAGTTCTGTACTTAATACTGCCAATAACTTTTTTTTTCATCTTTATTCTGTTTTTCTGTAAATTAACATATTAATTTCCAGTACGAGAAAAAAATTGCGTGATGTTAGCATTGATTCAGCATGACGATGTGGAATTAATTAGCAAGAGTCGTAGTTTTTTGTAGTATCAACGGCGATGAGAAAGACTAAGCATTAGTAAATACAGCTTGAAGAGTAGTAGTGTCATTATCCTCTCACGCGAAAATCGAGTTCTAAAAAAAGTACTATATCCCGTATTTTGTAAATAAGTTTATGTCTTACAAGTATGGTGATATAGAAGAAATCAGTTTGGTACACTAACAATTATCAGTGATAATTTTATTGAGTTCATGGATTGTATTGGAAAGTTACTTATCAAACTGCGATGTTTTAGCATGTCAGAGTAAAGTAGTACAACAAATATTTTCTATAAATTCCAGACAAGTTCCATACGATGGCAAGAAAGTTATTTGAAATCCATGTTTTCAGTCAAAAGATGGTCACTGAAATTTTCTGCCGCATTCATTGTTCTTCAATTTACTAGTTCTCTCTAAATGTAGTTATCCATTTCCTGTCTGCCTTAGAGGTAACAGTATCATTAAATAGCATGAATACGTAATCTCCTGTAAGTCATAGTATTTATTGATAAATAAGGTCTCATATTAGAATGGAGTATTCATCCGCTAAAATATGGTTAGATTCACCTATCTGCTTGTGCTTGGTACTGGCTATTCCCTAGGGTTTTTCAATGAAGCTTTTGAAAATTAGTTTATTTTTATGATTCCAGATGCCAGTTATTTTTCATGTTTTTAGAAATAGTCTCCCCAAGGTCTCCTTTATTACAAAAAAGAACAATTTTATTTAGTATCCCTCTCGTCGTCGCACTAAATACATTTTACTTCCGTTCGTTTGAAACGAAATGTGCACTCAAATATTCTCACAATTCCTGTTTACACTTCTCATTCTTACGATAGTACTATGAATTTAAGTAAACTAAGTTTATCTTGAAATTAGTTTTTAAATATTGCGATGGTTATTCATCATCCTCTCAAGAAATACTTAATAAATATTAATGTTTCGATTGTCGGACTCTAATATAAGCCAAAGCAACTCTGAATACTTATTTATTAAAAATACACTTCATATATACTTGACTTACCACTTTTGGAAGACTAAATCTCCGTTGTGCCCACGTAAGAAAATAACTTCATATACTGTTGTATGTTAAAATGACTGAAATTGTATTTTCCCTTTAATGAATATCCTTCTAGACATTTCATAAAACATAGCATAACCCTTTATCCATCTGTTAGAATTTTCGAGACACTATCTGTTTATCATACATATTTCAACAACACTTTCATAAAATCTCGGTAGTTTGACTTCCCCTCTCATCTTGTTCTTTATTCTTTCGGAGTCACGGCTGTTCTTGGTTTAACCTTTGTGTCTGACTTTGATTGATTAGTTAAGGGTAACTTGTCAGCATCTCTTCTCGTCGTTTATCATATTTGGCTTAAATTTAATTCAGTTCTCGGTGGCCATGCTGTATCTAATTCGTGTTCCAATAATGTAGCTTTTTTGTCCTGGGGGAGGTAGAAATAAATAAACAGCTTTTTAATTTTCCCATGTGATTAGCCTCATATTTGTGCATTTGACGACGGCTTATTTTCATTGCATGCATCCCTTTTGATATCGGTGTATAAAGACCTAAGTCTCCATGCAGGTTAAATGTTTCATTATTTTGCTATGATGTGCTTGGTTTTTACCATCGACTTCGCTTCGTATCCCATCATGATTAATTTTCTTGACTTAAATCATTTTAAAATATTGTGAATATAACAAGATTTTCTTGAGTCTTACATGTCCTTGAATGACCTCTAATAATTTTTTTATTTTTAGACGCGCTTATGTAGAGAACTTTTTCAATACTCATTTCCGACAGAACAAGTAAGTCATTTTGTCACAATCGAACAATAGTTATATTTTTACAATATGAACAAGTCAGTTCATTTCATTTTTTTATTACAGGTCGTTATATAGTTCACACTATTTCACCATAGTTTTCTCAACTGAGCTTACTATTTGTGTCTATAGTTTTACAAATATATTTGGAAAATATAGGGAATTAATCACTGTCTATAATTGGTAAAGTAAAAGAAAGGTTCATCCTTTGTATAACTACTGATATAATCTGTTTGTAACAAGTAATCGTTTAAACCAATTCCAGTTAACTTGTGTTAGTATCTATCTTATGTCTTTAAATATTCAAACTTGATTGATTCAACGTTTTTTTAAACTGGTTATTTACAATAATATGGATTTCAATGTTTATGTAATACCAAAGTTTTGAATAGATCAAGCAGGACTTATTGAATCATTACTAATGTTTGCTTCATAAGGCACCCCGAATAATAATGATAAGACGCATAAATTAATTTTCCACGTCCTCATGTCTCATAGTAGATTATTTTCAGTATATATTTATAGAAGTGTTTTGCCCACTTTCTTTCTTGATTATTTTTAGGGTGTTCCCAAAAACGCAACTGGATGCTCAAAGTTAACAAAAATTCCACTTTTAACCCTCAAAATTAACGCCAAATGATCACTCATATTTTAATTCATGTCTCATGCCATTCTGGATACTCTTTTAGCATCATTTCTTTACAAACTTATTATACACTTAAATTTTCACCTGTAATTTGCTCCATAATGGTATGTGTATGTTTTTCTATTTAGAGACCACCCATATACAGTCGGTATGTATTCGCTTCTTCACTCCTTAATTTATACGGATTTGTCTTTCTGTCTTGTCTTAGATATTCTGTTCCAAGCAGTGTATAATATACTGTAGTTCACATATTCACTCTCATGTGGAGTATTCTTCACTTCATATTATAGAATACCGGGTGCGCTTAAGTTTCAATCATAATACTTCCCATCCCTTTTTATGGACAGTTGGTTCATTATGTTGACTCGTAGTTTCGTCTTACAGTAATCCAAATACTATAAGCTCTTCTACTTGTACTACCAAATAAGGGGAATACATATTTGAGTCTCTTCCCATGTGGTTCACAAACCAATCAACAAGGATAATCTGCAGAAGAGTTAATAGATGATACTTACACATCCGTATCGTCACTAGATAAAATATCATCCTGTATAAGAAGTAAAATATCTCTTGATTTATGTATGTATTTTCTGATAAGCGATGTTAAATTAATTGTTTTAGAGCGAATTCCAAGAGCGTCAATGTCTACCGTAATTCAGATCACGCAGTATACAGATTTACAAGCTTCATATGTCAAATAATAAAAGGTTTCAATGGAAAAGACTGGAGGAATCGCATAAACTATAAATGACTCTAAATCCCTTTTTTAGTGGTGTCGAAATTTAGGTCGTTATTTTATGTTGTATTAGTTGGATGAAAAAAACGAGGTTTTACCTTACATTATTGACCTTGTAAAAAAGTGTAATGTTGTGTTGACTTTCTACATCTGGGCTGATCAAAAACATTTTATGGAATGCCCACTTATTCATCACATTCAATTTTTTATCACCAGATAAAAGGACTTAAGTACGTAGGGCTTGAAAGATTGTACTGAGTGTTGCTCGTCCAGTTTTCAAATGTTTAAACTTCAGCACCAAATGATGATTCTAAGCTACATCAGCTCCTGTTTTTGTTCTTACGTTTTCGATTGACCTGAACTTTTAATGACGCGGTTAGCCTAGTTCCCTGTAGTTCTGCCCGGTAAAACACTTGACCTGTCTATGTCCGTCGCAACGGGACCTGTTCGAAGCAAATGTTTTTTGTCCAGTCCGTGTCCAATGAGTTTCCATCATCCTAAGCTGGGTTGTAACTTTTCATCTCCACAGCTACTTTTGAATGGTACTTTTAATTTCTTAAGCTGTCTGCAAATCCCATATACCTAACTGAGCTGTAACTCTAGTAGTTAGAAGGAACGTCGGACTCGTGGCTTTCGAAGAATTTCGACTACCGCCATGAAATTTCAAAACTCCAGAATATAGATCTTGGTTTAAATAACTTTCTGGGTGAAATATTTTAACTACGTCCGCTTTTGTGAGGTTGAGCTGCTTGACCATTCCCAACTCTAATTTGCCAAGGTTTAAGATCAATATTGAGTTTGCGTAGGCACATGGATAACATATATATTTGTAAATCTTTCTTCTAAATCCGCATGTTACCTAGGCCATCTTCGTTTGTGTGATGGCGGTATTTAGAAGCAACATACGGACAGCGTTGATTAAACAGAAATAGGTACGTAATGAATATTGTGGATAGTTAACACACGTACGCCCATATAAATAAGTCAATAATTGACGAGGTCAAGATGTGACTTGTATATGATGAATAACTCGATCTGTCCGGATGCCGGAAAATTCTTTGTGTGCTTAATACAGTGTTAAACACCACAATTTATAATCAAGACCGCTCCAGTGTGAACCTCAGCACTTCTAACAAATTCCTTACGAAATAATGGCCGTTAAAGTAGCTGCGTGATGATCAGTAACAACAAATTCATAGGTATCTGAGGAGGTTCATCTTTTAATTGACCGCAAGTTCAGGCATGAATTATTGTCTATTCAACCTCGTAGGCTGGCATCTATGTCACTCGCCGTCTTTTGCGTTTAACATTTCAGATTTCGAAAATTACGTGTTTTGTAACTCCCTCATAGTGTTACTATAACAGTATTCACTCACTTCCTTATTTTGTATAAGCGTTATATTCCTTATTATCTTATATTGAATGTTGAAATCCCTTGTTTGTCTGAACAGATAATCCCACGCTCCACTGTGACTGCGCTAAGATCGAAATAAAGACCTATTCACTTCTTGTCTGGCTTCTTCTCTCAATAGCACGAGGGTTACCTATAGGCACGAAATTACCATGAGATCGCCAAAAATGGTCAGTGGAGTCTATGTTTACGCTAAGACTTCAGTCTCTGTAACGGTAAAACACCAGAATTTTCTGTCTTCATAAAACTGCGATAATATATGGTATTCTGTGAACAAGTCTTAATGATGACTTTCCTATAAAAAGACGTTCTTGAGACTGAGACTGGGGAAAACTCCATATGGATAAAGAGTATTGGTTAAGTGCTACAGAGTTTGACGAAAATAGAAGATCAGGCTAAGGTATATTACAGAGCAGTCCTACCAGACATGGTCTTTTACTCCTGGATTTCGACAGTCAATGGCGTATTCAGGAGCCAGTAATATTCTTCGGTTGTTCACTCAAACGCATTGTATATTAACTAGGAATTCCTGTTATCATCTGAGAAAATAAGAAGCACTGTGAGCAAGGGCATCTCCAAGTGACTCTCACTTCTGCAATTTCAAAGTAATTTACTGTCTTCCTGTAGATCTAGCACTCATCTGTGAAAAGTTGTCTCCTCAAATGTGTAGCTAACACGTGGCCAAATGGATAGCGGAAATTCCAGTTTGTTCTACATTTGCATGCCCCAGATAATAATTTTATCTAGTATTGCACTTATTCGTCCTTTAAAAAATTTGTAATTCCGGTCTATTTCTCATACTAGTGCAAGTCGTTTTTCATCGCAAACTAAGACGCAGAGATAAAATAAGCATCCTCGGTGGAACGATCAGGGAATGACCTCAGATGAATCCAATTAGTTCCTTGTTATGTTTGCTGTTGAGTATTGTGACATCCACACTACATCATACAAATGTATAACGCATTTCTGCTGTTGTTAAGTTGGCGACTACATGTGGCTGTTCATGCAACTTTTAGGGGTCATTTTATGGATATTAACAGTCACTGTTAGACATACTGGGAACCATCTGTCTTTTCGTGAAATCACTCATAAATTATGGTTACAACCGCAGTATACATGAAACAAACTCTTTCGTTTGCATTAGTCAAAAAATATACGGTTGGTCCTGAGGAAAGATTCGCAATAATTACAGTAACATTTACCTTCTGGCAGCTCTGCACAGCAGAATATTGAGATGCCTATGTTTGATATGGACTTGCATACAATGCATGACGATAGCTTTTGTGTCCAAAGAATACCCCATAATGCCTGCAACGGTACACAATATTATTTTCACAACCTCGGATAACTCCTCTTTGTCCAGCCAAATGGAACAGTGTGATCCCAACTGAAATTATCAGCGATAGCCTGTAGGAACCAGGAATATCTACAAAATCATTTTTGAAATAACTCTTTTTCTGTTTTTTATATAAACTCTGTCGAATCAATACACAACACTTCAGGATACTTTCCATACAGTTCAGTATTATTTGTTCGTAAAAACATCTAGTCGGAATGTCGTCTATTGAGTAAAACCATTTCAGCATCTCATCATTTCAAGAGTAGCCAGCTTTCAAAGGTTTGACTACACACTTGCTCTAAGAGAGTCTATACTTTAGGTTGCTTACATCACTAATAGTGAATACTTCGTGAAATGTATCCTTCAAACTAAATTATCAAGCGTGGATGCTTGTTGAAATAATGAAGCTAAGTTCTCCTCAAGAGGCCATCTTGTACTTGATGGGTCATAAACCATAAGACTTGCAGATCGTGCATTGTTGTGAACTATCCTGAAAGACCTTATCGTTCACTCATTGTCACGGTAAGCCACTATAAGCATTGGGTGACAATCAAGATACTTAAACCTTCTTGGCTATTGTTATATCTAGAAGGTTGTTCTTGATATACTGTGTATAACGTGAGCACGAACAATTCCGGGACATTCTTCCAAAAGGTGATTGGATGGAATATTTTCGGCTCCTACAGCTTCCTCGAGTCCACTCGTGGTCCATCGTCACAGCTATTATTGTTAATAATGGCTTTTTTCCGACAACAAATGTTTAATGCAATCCTCTGTACACAATGTTTAGACAAGTTTCACTTGCAAAAACAAATAAATCAATGTATGCATATATACATGAAATAGGTAAATAGACGCTCCACAATTGAGTGAAACTTCTTCATGAAGACAAGAATCATTGCAAACTTAAATCAATTTGTTTGACAATATCAGATTTTGACTAGGTCTGCTCTTACAAGCTTTTCATCCCATAATATATTTGTAGATACGATATATAATGTCGTGCAGAATGAGAATCAGGAAGATAAGCATAATTTCTCACATGATGAGATAAACACTTTCATAATTGACATGGTGAGCTGTTACTTAATATCTCTCCCTGAGAATGCCCTTGGATTCTTCGACTGTATGATAAAAATACTTTATTCACTATTTCACATTCTAAAATGGTGTATGGTTGAGACGTGAAAGGACTTAAAACTAAGTTGCTAACTTCTTTGTGAACTAAAGTTGAGAGCACAGAGTGTAAAAATTTTGTTATCGTATTCCCTCTGATTTATCATTGTGCGTTATGAATTAATGCCACACTTGTACAAACAACAGCTAAGAGTCATCGCGATCAAAATATTTTACCACGGTGTTTCGTACTCATCACAGTGTCTACCTCTACAGGTGAAAAGTTACGTACACTCGCTTTGCTTTCATTCAGTATTAGTTCTTATATAATTTGGTATGTTACAAAATAAA